TTTTGTTCTGCCTGGTGATGCTGTCTGCTGTGTACTTTTACATTATGCATTGTTGGCTGTCAATTTCACGTAATGATGTGTAAATGCAATGTAGCTGTGAAAAAATCCAGAGGAACAAAAGCATCAAACTAAATATATCCATTCACAACAGCACTGGACACATAAATGCATTTCATTTTAGTGTTTACACTGTATTTCTTTAACCCTCTCCCACATACATATTTTATGAGTTTTTTTTTACTCAGAAGTACCACTGCAGGACTTGGTTGTGCATTAGCAACAAAAAGTTTAATTTGAGCCAGAGAGGGTTAGATAGATTTTATTTTTAATCATGGATTAGAATATTTTAGCTTTACTAGTATATTTTATGTTTAAAATGCTGAACCTTAAACCATACAGCACTCCTACCTACAGCATCTTTTGTCATGAGTCACATACCTAGTGACCGGGGTCATTTACATGTCTCAGAGGACTGCAGCCGTTTTAGGGGAGATCAAGTGTAACGTTCAAAGCAAGACCTTTTACCTTTAAACACTATCTTTAACTACAGGTTAATTGTAGTCATTACTGAATAGCTCATCATTAAATCAATCAATGTACAAATCTGACCTCAGGATACCAATCTGATTGGTCTCTGAATACCAGCCGTTATTATAAATAATAGGCTATAGTTTTGGTAAAAATCCAACCACATCAGTAAAACTGTCACTGCAATTATAGCGAGGACTGCTATAATTGCTCCGGGTTTCTCCTACAGTCCGAAGACCTACATTTAGTGGGGTTAGGTTAACTGGTGATTCTAAATTGCCCTTATGTTGAATGTGAAGGTGAATAGTTGTCTGTCTCTCTGTGTTATTAATCCTGGAAACCTATAATGGTGTACCCTGCATCTCACTCTAATGGCAGCTGGTATAGGCTCCATACACTCCTCAGTCAGTCAGTTAGTCAGACAGACAGACAGACAGTGGTACAATGAGTGTTCACACTATCAAACTAACTGACAGGTCCTTAAACGATTGCACTGCAAGCAACCACTGGACACACTTCCTTTGATCAAAGCTTTTCAAATGTTCCATGTGAAAACACCACAGCATAATATCTTCCATTGTTGCTGAAAGAGAACAAAGCAAGCTTTGAGAAACTGTCTGAAATATGCATTATTGATCCACAGATGAATACGAGACGAAAAGAAAAAGAAAACGGTGGACATTAAGCTTTGATATGTCTTTTTCACTGAACACGGCTTTTAAAATCCTTGGTACTGATTTATGTTAAGGTTTAAGGTTCATCACAAATGACGACCCAATTGCAAACACATTAGAGGCAGACAAGCAGCTATAGCAAAAACAAAGGTGAGTTTTAATAGAAAGCTGTTTAAAACTCTTGAGTTACCATGAAAACATTAAACTTATGAAGAGTAAAGTCTAAAAAAATAACACAGTGGTGAAGAACTCGGGCAGCCAAACAGGCAGATTAAGGACTGAGGAAAGAGGTAAAAAAAATTAGACTGAAACAGACAATCAGAGGGGTGGGAGAAATAATTGAAACAACACAACCAAAAACAGACATCAACACTTTGTTTCTTTTTTTGTAGTTTTTCAGTTCAGAGCATTTCCCTCATTCAGGATAAAACAAATCTATAAAAATGCAAATTACTCCTTAACACCTCCACCATTTGCCTGCAGCCTCAGGGCCCACCCTCTGTAACTGGAGGCATCAGTCACTCTGTAGGATCTCTTGGTATATGCTGGGGGAAAACAATGGCACATCAACACTTGTGAAATGTGTCTTTGTTAATCAGGACACTAAACCCAGTGTACAGTCTGTAAATGAGCAAACTATGCACTCAGTTTTGAACCAAACAAAACTGAATGTTTCTTCTTTACTTACCTGTTTTGCACTCTGCACATATGTCCCTATTACATTAAATCATTAGTAAATGAATTAAACTCTGGTCCTCTCCCATGTGTGTCTTGTCTTATCTGCTCTGCTCCCTTAAGTTTCCCCTCACTGTCTCTCATGGCAGATGGCTGTCCCTCCCTGAGCCTGGTTCTGCAAGATGTTTCTTCCCATTAAAAGAGATTTTTTCCTTTCCCACTGTCGCCAAGTACATGCTCATAGTGTGTCCTCTGATTGTTGGGGTTTCTCTCTAATATTATAGGGTCTTAACCCTACAGTATAAAGTGGTTTGAGGTGACAGTTATTGTTATTTAGTGCTATATAAATAGAACTGAATTTAACTTAAAAGTGCTAGGTTGTTGGAAATGTGAAAATACTTCAAACCCCTTGCCTGCACTGGCATAATATTTTCAACACTAATGGCACCAAGATTTTAATATATATGCATTTGTGATCATTCTGGTGATTGTAATTTTCATAATGTGAACAATTCATTTTGGTGGACCACGAGGGCACGAAAGCTTACATAAACTGGCTGAAATGCATCTGCTTAAGAGGTACTTCATAAATTAAAGTAATGTGGGACTAATGAAGAAGGTTGCCTGATTTATTTAAAGATGAAAAGAAGGATTTACATGAGGTTGCGTTTCAGGGTTTTAATAAACATTTTTTAACTCACTAAGTAACATCCTAACATTTTGAAATTTTCTTTGGTACAATTAGGTTCTGAGTCATTAATCACGGTGGCTCTGCTCACAGTCTTTCAGCAGTTCAACAATCCTTCATTAAACTAAGATGCAAGTCGGAGTGTGTATCCCATCAGTAGTCCTGGTGGGTGGGAGATTAATAAACTTGGCCAATATTTTTCATAAAACATTATTTATCAATAATGAGTCAAAACAGATAAGAGCCATTTCTGAGTACTAAGATATGATGTTGAAGTACAGGAAAGATACTGGCTGATCAAATTACACAGTCCTATATATATATATATATATGCAGCATATTTTATCTGTTCTGCCTGTTTTAAACTTTGAAATTGGCATCACAGTTTGAATTGGACTATTTCCAATGAATGCCTTTAATGATTTTCTTTTGAGAAAAATAAATAAATTAAATTCTTGAATAACTTTTAAGACACTGTACTGCAATGTGGGCATGCCAAAGTACATAATTGTGAAGCATATTGAAAATTGGCACTTTGGTATAATTACTGAGCGAAAAGATAAGAACAAATCAGGGAACTGAATAAAATTAATATCTAGCCAGCATAATTAAATTCTACATCGTAATAATAGCTTATTTTAGTTCCTCATGTTTGTGAGCCCACACACTGACCCCTAATGAATCATTCCAGATGAGCATTAACATGTAATTACCTTTTGTCTCATTTGACAAATTTTGTCCTATTCCAAAATGTTATGATGGATCATTATAGTATTACCAGGCTATTTAGCTGCGTTGGGCTTACACTGTAAATCTACTTCGTGCTTTATTCAATTCATAACACCGTAAATTATTATTCTCCTCCAAACCATCAATTATACTTTATATAATGACTCTGGTTTGTCACGTTTAGGCTAAGGGAAAGGTGCACCAGTTTTGCAGTAGGGGAGACCGGGGATAGTTGTAACGTGGGTCAGTTGTAACACTTCCAATTTCTCCAATCAGGGCTAAGTTTCAAATGATGTGACTCATCCTGTGCATGCCCAATTCAGTTCTGCTATCACATGTGAAAAACCAGCACATTTTGTCAAACACAGCCAATTTAACACGAAAAAAAGTAATTTGTATGCCAAAAAGTAAGTTTTTCTACTTTATTTCAATTTCTAATAGCATTATCTGCTTTGCAGTTAAACTCATCAAACTTAAATT